TCTTCCGAAAGCCTGAGTTCTGGGACCAGGCCCCCAAACTTCACCCACACCCACATGCCACTTCTTGCCCTTGTCCTGGCTCTGTTTCCCCTGCGGCCTCCCCCAGCTCTGGTTCCCAGCTGGAGCACCCCACCTACGAGTCCCCAGTTCCCACCCCCGGGGCCTCAGAGCAAGCCGGGGTAGGACCTTTGACTCTGGGATGTGTGAGGTAGCCCCGGGGGAGTGGCTGTCCTTCTCTGATTCTCAGCCACAAAGGAGCCAGAATGTCCAGGAAGGGGGATGGGGGGCACAGGAGGGAAGGGCCACATTTGTATGGCAGAGCTTGGGTCCCAGGGAGCCCCGGCTTGGGGTGGGAAGGGGAGATGACAGTTCCTTCTCACACTCAGAACAGGAAAGGTGAGGGGCAACCTGGGAGAGATCTGGGATCTCTGTGGGATGGGATGGGGTGGGGCAGGAGGAGGTTTGAGAATGGGGCTGGAGAGAAGGGCGTTGCCTGGTCCAGAAAGCCAGTCTGACAAAAGGTAGCTCTGAGCCCTTGGGGGTGGTGTTTATGTGTGTGGGAGCGCTCATGGCCCTCCCCCTGCCCACCCAGGCAGCAGCTCTAGCTATGAGAGTGGTTTCCCCACTGGAGACCATGAGCTCTTCACCACCTTCAGTTGGGACGACCAGAACGTTCGCAGAGTCTTCATCAGAAAGGTAACTGCCTCCCCCAACTCTCCCAGACCGGGAAGCTGGGTGGGGGGAGCCTCTCGAGAAGCCGCTGGCCCAGTCTCCTGCCCAGAGGCCTTCCCTCTCCCCATCCTTGTGATGCCAGCTGACGGCACCTACTGGGAAGTTGGGGTGCCCACTGCCCCCTGCTGCGGCTGAACACGTGGTCTCTTCTCTCCAGATCCCATGGGTGTGGGCTCTGGAGCGTCTTTGCTGTCCTTTCGCCTTGTCCTGGATTCATCCCGATGCCCCCTAAGAAGGAGGGTGGAAGGCCCAGGATGCGGGTCTGGAGGGTAGACGGAGTCACCAGGAAGTTGGGGTCTCCCTAAGCCTTGCTGGGGGCCTGAGCCTCTGTGGCCCCCAACAGCGCCCCCCAAGCTGAGAGGACCCCCCTCCCACCCCCAGGTCTATACCATTCTGCTGATCCAGCTGCTGGTGACCTTGGGTGTCGTGGCTCTCTTTACCTTCTGGTGAGTTGGCTGTGTGGACCAGCACGTTCCACGGGTGGTGGCGCCAGGTCTCAGCCTGGGGAGGAGGGTCCAGAGTCAGACTGTTCTTAGAACCGTCTGCCTGAAGATGCTGGTGCAGGGCAGCGGCCCACCTCATGCTGGGAAGAACCTTAGACCGTGCACAGGGAGGGGTCCTCCATCCAGCAGGGGGTGGCCCCATGCTTTCTGGGCCTGCAGGTTTCTGTGAAGCAGTCGTTCCTCTCAGGTGCAGCAGCCCTACACCTGGGCGCATGGGGCGGGTGGGTGGGGGGAGGTGGGGGCAGGTGCAGATGTTGAACCAGAAATGGAGACAGAGGGTAAATTCTGATTCTCTTGGCACTCCTCTGCATGTTGGTTGCCTGAGGGCGTCTGTTCTTCACTCATACATGACGTGGTTAAAGTAGGAGCTGAATAGGTGGCTCTGGCTCACTCATGCTTGGGGAGGGAGGGGTACAGAATGCGGGGGGAGCTTGTGGCAGGGGGGGGGGGGGGGGAGGTGGGGGCAGGTGCAGATGTTGAACCAGAAATGGAGACAGAGGGTAAATTCTGATTCTCTCTCCCTCCCTTCTCTGCAGTGACCCCGTTAAGGACTATGTCCAGGCCAACCCAGGCTGGTACTGGGCATCCTAGTAAGTATACCCAGGCGCCTTCCCAGAACACTCTCCGCAGCCAAGGTGGGACATCTCCGCTGACAGAATCCCAGCCCATGACCTCTCCCCGTCCCATAGGAACTGCCTCACAAGAGCATGGCCAGAAGGGGCCTTCTGGGGTGTGTAGAGCTGAGGGGGAGGGGAGGAGATGGGCATTGGTTCTGGTGCCTGCCCAAGGAGGGAAGGGTGGAACTGGGGTCATGGCTAGGGAGACCCAGACCTTGGCCTGGAGGAGAAGGGAGGCTGGGGCACCTTGGCCCACACTAATGATAATGTTGCTACTCAATATTAACATAGTTGTTATGAATGCTTGTGAATTATTAATCATAAGAGCTACCACTTATAAAGTGCCTAATAAGGGCCGGGCATTGTTCTATGTGCTTGATGTGAAGTGTTGCATTCACTGCTCAGAAAACTAAGTCTCAGAGAGGTTGAGTAATTTGCCCAAGGTCACACAGGTAGGTAGTGGTAGAGCTGGGATTCAAACCCAAGATTCAGGTTGAAGCTTGTACTCTTAATCCCTCTGCTTGGCAGACTCCCTTCCCCTCGAGCAGTTGGCTCCTGCTTGTATACTCTACTCTTTAAGGAGCATGGCAGGGAACTTGAGAGGTTACTCTGACCCTCCTATGTGGGCAATTAAGGAGTCATTCTGGATACTTCCAGGCCGGACCACCCTGTTCAGAGCAGAACTACTGTCAGCAAAGTCTCCTTCAGCACCCGCTGTGAGCCCAGGCCAGAACTGGAGCTGGTGGGGAGGAGGCCTCTGCAGGGGAAGGTGGTGGGCATGCAAGGCAGCCTGTGAAAGAGCAGCATTCAGGGGAGGGGGAGCCCTCAGTCCATGTCAGCGGGTGCGCCTCAAAGGATGAGCCAAGGGGCCTGGGGACTGGGGTGACTTAAGCAGGAGCATGGGAGTGGGAGCGCACGTGGTGCGTTGGGTAAATTAGGGACCAGGCTGGCGGAGCACTGCAAGGCTCCGCGAGGGGAATCGGGACATCCCAGAGAGTAGCGAGGCCTTCTGGGGTGGAGGCTCTGAATGTCCACCCAAGGAGCTTGCACACTACAGCTGTCCCAGGCCTGTTCCTGAATGGGGATCTGGTGGGAACGTAGGCTCAGCCCAGAGCCTCCTGGACCACCCGAGCCCAGAACAGTCCCAGAGTGGGCCTCCAGTTAGCAAAAGCCAGCCAAAGGCTGACAGGAAGGAGACATCCTGGCCTCTGGGGCTCCCAGGAGGAGTGGAGAAGCTCAGCCAAGTTGGGGATCCCAGGGGAGGAGACATTCACACCCAGAGCCGTTCTTAGGGCACAGGACAGAGGGCCTGTCTGCAGACCAGGCAGGGAGGCGGGCGTCTTGGGGGACGGGGGGCACTGTAGGCTAAAGCTGATGAGGCCCCAGGGACTGCCACCCCGGCCAGCCCCCATGGCGGGTTGGCATGGCTCCTGGCACGTCAGCACCGCCTGGCAGCCTCTGCACCCTGCCACCTCGGGAATGCGGTCCCCAGGCCCCTCGTCAGGCCTCCTGCGGGAGGGTCTTTGGGACTCTGTGCCCTAAGCAGATGGTGGCAGTCCAAGAATAAGCAGGCTCTAGAATTGAGGGCAGAGTCCACCCCACTGAGGATGGTGTGAGAATTTGGCCTCTGAATGGTGAGAGGTCCTTCCTCCTCACTCCCCACGTCGCTATCCAGTCCTGAGTCTGCCTCTGGGTCTGAGACCTAGCAGGTCTGACACCTAGTGGGTCTCACGTCCTCCAAATACCAAGCCCTTAATAGCAGTAAGAATAAAACAGGTCTTTTTCTATGTATGTAGCACTGTGCCATGTGATTTGCAGATATTCTTCATTTGATCCTTAACAACAGCCCTACGAGGCAGATACTGTTATTATCCCCATTTTTTTTTTTTTTTAAAGAAGATGTTGGGAGTAGGAGTTTATTAATTAATTAATTTATTTTTGCTGTGTTGGGTCTTCGTTTCTGTGCGAGGGCTTTTCTCTAGTTGCGGTGAGCGGGGGCCACTCTTCATCCCGGTGCGCGGGCCTCTCACTATCGCGGCCTCTCTTGTTGCGGAGCACAGGCTCCAGACGCGCAGGCTCAGTAGTTGTGGCTCACAGGCCTAGTTGCTCCGCGGCATGTGGGATCCTCCCAGACCAGGGCTCGAACCCATGTCCCCTGCATTAGCAGGCAGATTCTCAACCACTGTGCCACCAGGGAAGCCCTGTTATCCCCATTTTATACATGAGAAAATTGAGGCTCAGAGAGATGTTGCTTCCTAAGCAGCAGAGCCAGGATTGAACCCTGTCTTTCTGATTGAGAAGCTCGTGCACTTCCCCTCCATGCTCTGCTGCCTCCCCACAGCCTGGGACTGGTCCTGGAGCATCATAAGTTGGGGGAGGACAGTGGGTTTGGACCCTGGCCTCCACCTGAGCCTCGTGCCTCGGTCTTGACATTCTGTAAACAGACCACGGCTCTAGCTCAGGCCCTGGGGCCCAGGCTCTGACAAGCAAGTCTGTCTTTCACTTCTTCTGTGACTTATTCTTGGCTCCCTGGGATGGCAGCCTTCCAGCACCACCCCCTCCCCACCCCCCCCACCCCCGCCCACGCTTTCTCCAGGCCCCAATCATCTCCCTCAGTGGGCTCTCGCCTTATTGTCTGATTGCTCCCTCTGAGCCTTGGCAGCGGGAACTGCGGGCCTCCCTACCGTGCGGGGGAGGAGTAAGGGCTGTGGGGTGGAGGTGGGGGGACCGGACAGAGGAGGAAATGTGTGAGACCAGACTTGGGGGAGGTGGGTCCGAGCCTCTCCAGGAAGCTGTCAGTTAGCCAGGTTCTAGTTATAATAATAACAACTCCCATCTTCAGGTCCCTACCCAGTGCCAGGCTCTGTGCTCAAGGCTGGACTGCATGCTCTCATTCAGTCCTCACTACAGCCCAGTGAGGTGGTACCAGTATTCCCGTTTTACAAAGCAGGAAGCTGGAGCTCTGCAATTAAGTAGCTGTTCAAGGTCACACGATGGTGGTGGCAGAGCTGGGATGTGAAATGCGAGGGTCAGGCTCCCAAACTGCCCCATACGCTCCAGGTCATCTGTCCCTCTGCCCTTCCTCCCGACCACTAGTCTTGAGGGTTGAGGAGCTCTGGACCAGAGAGAAAAGGAGGCTGGGCCCTGCAGGATGGCCTGCAGCCCTGGCCCTGGCACTGAGAACCCCTCCATCACTGTGACAGCAGTGATGCCCCATTTGAGAACCACTGAAGAATAGTAGAGGGTGAAGGTGGAGGGCCCCTATTTACCAAATCCAACAGGCTTGTCTCAACCCCTACATTCCCTGTGCTTTCACATTTCACCCAGAAATATTTAAAGATTGTGCCAGGCCCTGGGTTGAACAATAAGTTGTTCCAGATGCTACATCTGGGTGGGGATCAGATGAGCAGACCCGTGGGGTGTGGGGTGCAGGCTTTGGTTGAGTTATGCCCGTGGTGCACAGCGGAAGCCCCTCCAACCTCAGCCCCAGGCATCCTCGCCAGTTGGTCCTTTCCAGCAGGGGCAGAGAGTGGTGGGCACACTGTGAGGGTGCAGAGGGCGATGAGAGGGTAGATGGCGGGGCGGAGTGTGGTGCGGGATGGGCTGGAGAGGTAGGCGGGGGCAGATCACGCAGGGCATCACCAGGTCTTTGGAATTTTAAACAGGAGAGTCACATGATGGGATCTGCCTATAGCTTGGAGAGTGGAAGGCAGGGCTGGAGGCAGAAGGACCGGATAGACAGAGATGACCCGACCTAAAAGGGTGGTCGTGGGGATGGAGAGAAGGGGACGGGTTTGAGAACTGCCTGGGCAGAGGATCAACAGGTCCAAGTGACTAGCTGGGCATGGCAGGGTGAGAGTCAAGGCTGACCGAGGTCGCTGGTTGGGTGACTCGGAGGCTGCATGACATCCTCTGCAATAGGGGATGCAGGAGAAGGAGCAAGGAGGAGGGCAGGTTCGGCTCTAACCTGCTGCATAACAGCCGTGTTTGCCCAGTAGGCAGTTGGTTATTTAGGTCTGAGGTTGAGAAGGAAATTCTAGATCAGAAATATGGTGTGTGAGTCATGAGCATCTGCCTGATAAAGGGAGTCCTAGGAATGAGTGAGCCCACCCAAGAGGATCGTAAAGGGAGACAGTCTGCTGGGAGAGACCCTGTGCTGACGGAGATGGAGGAGTGACCAGGGAGGTAGGAGGGGACCCAAGGCTGTGTCATTGTGGAACCAGGGAAACGAGAGAGATCAGATGTCAGCATGTCCAGGTCAGATAAGGACGGACAAGTGTCAGTTGGACTCAACAAGGTCATAGTGATGTGGCAAAGCCAGCTCTCATTAAGTGGGACAGGGGCTGGTTTGTTAAGTTGAGGAGTAATTGTGAGATGGAGAAGGTGCCGTGAGTGGAGAGAACTTTTTCAAGAAGCTTGGCTGTGAGGGTGGCAGTAGCTGGAGCCGGGAAAGATGTTGGTTAAAGATGGAGAACAGCTGAGGAGGTTTGTGAGGGAGAAGATGTAGCAGTTGCTGGCAGGGCAGTTGAGGGTGTGGAACCCAGAGGCTTGGGGGGATTCACCTGGGATGGGAGGAGGGACAGAAGGAAGGACACATAGATGCATGACGCGATGTTTGCAGGCGGCAGGCAGGGAGCCAGTGGAGCCCCCCACCTCATCTCGAATCTTTCTGGGACACATCAGGCCAGACCAGGCAGGAGAGTGAGGCAGCCTGGGAGGTTTGCAGATGAAGGAGGACGGTTGGCACTGTTGCTGTAGGGGATGTGGGTGGGAGAACCGAGGAGGGAGATGGGGAAGGATGACGGGTGCCATGTGTCGAGGGCACACTGAGAGCTGGAGACCACGCATTGGTGTCGGCACCAATCTAGGTAGACATGAGCATGCGCCACCCTTGGGTCTTCAGCCCTCGTGTCCCACCTCCTGGACTGGCCTCCACCTCCACTGCTCTCCAGAAAATCCTTAATCCTCGACCCCTGTCTCTGGGTTCCCCCTGAGCTTCCTGCCAGTCTCCCAGTGGGTACGGCCACACCTGATCCAGAAATTCATGCCACAGGTAATTCTTGCTGTGCCAGGTGCTGGCAGGACAGACAAGATCATTGTGGGTAGTGACAGGGCCAGGGAAAGGCCTAAAGGAGGCAGTGCGGCGTAGTGGTTATAAGCTAGGACTCTGGAGGAGAATGCCTGTGTTCTAACCCTGCCTCTGCCATGTGGTAGCTGTATGACCTTGGACAACTCACCGGGCCTCACCGTGCCTCAGTTATAAAGTGAAGAACGTGCTTCATAGAGAAGATACGAGGGTTTTATTAGCTAATACTCATAAAGCATGTAGCTCTCTGCCTGGCATATAGAGAACACTGTATATGAGCTTTTCAAAATATATATAAGTAATAAGGTATTGTCTGGGGGGAACCACTTTGCATTGGGTGGTTAGCTATCACATGGCACCCAAGATTCAGTATTTCTAGAAGCAGGCTCATCTTATTCCCCTTCCTTTCTTTTGGAATTATATCATCACCCTGGCCATTGCAAGGTTCTAAGATGATCGTGCGCTTGACCAACCCCTGCCCCTGGCCCGTGGCACCCTGCTTGGTGCCCTGTGGGCAGGGGTGGCAGAGAGTGGAACGAGCAGGGGACTGGGTGGAGGGCCTTCAGGGACGGCCAGCTCTCCCATCCGTCTGTCTCTCACAGCGCCGTCTTCTTTGCGACCTACTTGACCCTGGCCTGCTGTTCTGGACCCAGGTATGATGATGGCTTGAGGAGCAACATGGCTTGTGGGAACATGAGCAGGATCTTGGAAGTTCTGGCCCCAGTCCTGCTTGCCGCCAGTGCACCCCTAAGACGGCCCCATCCTTCTCTGGGCTCCATCAAGCAGGCCTGCCCTTCCCTCCTTTACTTGGCACCTCGGGGCGGGGGGAGGGTGAAGGCACAGATGGGGGCACGTGGGGATGTGGCTGAAGGAAGAAGCTCCGAGGAGTGGGGATGAGTTTGTCGGACCCTCGCACAGCACGACCCAGCCTGTGCTGTAGGCACTGCCCCTCTCCTCTGAACTCGGTGGCTTGCCTTACAGGAGGCATTTCCCCTGGAACCTGATCCTCCTGACCATCTTTGTAAGTGATGTGGGAGTGTCTGGGGACAGATGCTGAGTGGGGATGGAGGGAGGAGGGTTGAAGGGTGAGCTTTGAGGGATGGGAGTTGGAGATAGCTGATGTGAGGTCACTGGGGGTGACAGGGGTATTTTTGCCCCACTTCTGCAAAGACACCCAGCCCTCTCTTTCCAAATGGCCTTTCCCCACTCCATCCACTCTCTCTTTCCATTGTGATTTTGTTTTTAAGAGGTTTGTATGGGGACTCCTAGAGCTATGGATAACAAGAGCTGGGGGTGGGGGGAGGGTGTGAATCTTAGAAAGGGGGACGAGCAGGGCTGCAGAAAAAAGAAAGGGACAGCTGGGACCTCCTTCACCGGGAGAAATCCTGGATGTAAATGTGTGTGTGAGCAAAGCAGACTCAAGAGTTGAGGGGTACGCACAAGGGGTGGACACCCAGCCTGGCCCTTGAAGGTGTCTGGGCCCCCAGCATTCCCTCATCTTACTTCTTTCAGACCCTGTCCATGGCCTACCTCACTGGGATGTTGTCCAGGTAAAGGGGCCAGGTGGAAGTGGGCTGGCCACACCCCGAGGGGAGCTGCCCCAAGCACAGTCCTTCTGGGGAGCGTTTGGACGGGCCCGGGCGCTCAGGCAGGCGGGAGACGTGGGCTTAGAGCACGCTCCTCCTGCACTCGGCCTCCAGGACCTGGCCAGGCTGGTGGGTGGGGGTGGGAGACGGAGGAAAGCAAGGTGACACCCTCTCAAGCTGCAGCTGAAAAGGCCCCAGGTTCATGATCACACAGTTCCCTATAAGCCACCTCCAGGCACCAGCACAAACCCCTCCCCACCCCCATTCCCACCTCTTCGAGATCCTTCTAACAGGATTCTGAGTGTGAGCATGTTGGGGAGGGTGGGTCCCAGTAGAAAGGATGAGGAGGCAGAGATAAGGGGAATCCTGGGAAAGGGGAGAGGCTGGGGGGCAGAGGTCGCGGGATCAGGTCCTGGCAGAAGGGGAGGACCTGGGAGGAGGGCAAGGAGAGACCAGAAGCCCTGCCCTGAAGCCGACCCCCTGACCTGCCCGTCCTGCAGCTACTACAACACCACATCTGTGCTGCTGTGCCTGGGCATCACGGCCCTCGTCTGCCTCTCGGTCACCGTCTTTAGCTTCCAGACCAAGGTCAGCCCTGGGGCCTTCGGGCTGAGGAGGGTTGGTGGGGGGCGGGGGCGGTGGGCTGCAAGCTTGGATTCCCCAGCTGGGGGAGGTAAAAGGCATGAGTAGTGTCTGGGGAGGCCACCTGGGACGGGAGGGGGAGGAACAGCGGGTTCTGGGGTGAGCACAGGAAGGTGGCCTGCTGCCAAGGCCTCGGCCTTCTGGCCAGCACACTGCGCAGCCGGGGCCCCCAGGAACGCCGGGCCGCTCTGTGCAGGCCTGAGGGGCCCGGCAGCTGACGCCCATCCCGCCCCTGCAGTTTGACTTCACGTCCTGCCAGGGTGTGCTCTTCGTGCTGCTCATGACTCTCTTCTTCAGTGGACTCATCCTGGCCATCCTCCTGCCCTTCCAATATGTGAGTCTCCAGGTCTCCCAGCCGGCCCCGTGGGGATGGCGGGGGTGGGGCTGCCGGCCCGAGGGTGCTGTTTCCTCCTACACCCTCCAGGGAAGGCCGTGAGCCAAGGGCTCACAGCCTGCCATCCTGTCCTGCCCCTCCTGGCACCTGCCCTGGGCTGCTTGGCGGTGTAAGCAAACAACGAAGCGAGGCTTTCCTTGACAGGTCTGGGCACCTGCCCACTCCACAAGCCACATCCGCTTCACCTTTCCCGTCTTCTCCACTAGGGGGGAGGTGAGGCTGAGGGGGAGGGCTCAGATCATTTAAACCCTAGGCCGGGGAGGGGGCTCCGGAGATCCATGGGGCCACCAGGCCCAGAGGGGCCCTGAGGAAGGGCTTCCTGGGACTCTTGGGGGATCAGTCAAGTCCAGAGAGGCAGGATCTGGCTGTCCAGGCAGGCGGGAAATGGGACAGTGGGGCTCCGAGCATACCCCTGCCCCATGAGGGTGTCCATGGGGACAGCTGAATCTCAGCTCTTTAAGAAGTGTCCGGCCTGCCTGGGAAATCCCACTAAGACTGCTCAGGGCTCAGTGACCCATTCCAGGCACTCAGGCTGCTGCAGGTGGAGAAGGGGCAGACTGAGGGCATCACAGGAGGGGGTTTGAGCCCTGGGGACCCAAGAGAGCAGCTGTTGGACCCGTGCTGAGGGCTCAGGGCTTGCACCTGCCGTGGGCTGCTCTTAGCTACCTCTAGTACGGGGGTCCCCCACTGCCCCTTTTCTGCCAGGCTGAGAGCAGTATTCCTCACTCTCCGTCCCTACCCCATCCTGCCCAGCCCCAGGTTATTGCCTCCCAGTCCAGAACGTCAGGATTGGTTCTGGCATTTCCTTGGCTCTTCCCAGGATCCTGTTGACAAAGGGAGGAGCCGGAGCTGGCCTGGGGGCCCTCTGTGTATCTAGGATGGGGGGGTGGGGTACAGGAAGGGGCCCCAGAGCTTCAAAGAACCCTTTATTGACCCGGGTCAGGCTGATGGAATGCCTATGTTTCCAGGAGTCTTCTGGGGGAAGGCTCTTCAGAGGGCACAGCTGGTTTGGCACCTCTTGCAAGGTTTCCGCACTCAGTTGGGTGCCCCTGAGGCCTGGGGGGAGCAGAGGTTGGGAAGGGGTGCTGTTCCAGCCTCTGCAGGCAATCCCATCAAGCACAGCTGGCAGGGATGCCAGATGCCCCCCCAACCCCTGGGCCTAAGTCTTTGTCCCCTTCTACCTGAGCCCCTTTACCCACACAGGCAGAGCCAGGAAGCTCCCGACGTGGGGACAGACGGCACAGGGATGAGTCCACACTGGGAGAAGGGCGTAGCCTCAGGCCAGACCCAGGCTGGGAGGATGGCAGGGACCCCATAGGATGAGTCACCCTGGGCCAGCCTGAGCCTGGGGCTGTGTGTGGAGGAAAGAAGTGCTGGCCCGTCTGGACCTCCCCGCCAGCCCTCCAGGATCACTGTTACCCTGGGGCTCCCCCACCCACCTTGAGCACGCAGGGGATTAAGGACCTCTCAGTCTGGGGCAGGGTTTGGGCGGGTGAGAAAGGGCCCCCACTGGGGAGGTCTGTGCTACACCCTCCATTCTCTAACTGATCCCTTCTCCCTGCCCCTCTGCCGCACTGCCCATCTCGCCATCCTTGAGCCTGTTTTTTGTCTGCCCTGCAGGTGCCCTGGCTCCATGCAGTGTATGCCGTGCTGGGAGCAGGCGTGTTTACGTTGGTGAGTGTGGCCTCCTGGGGGCCCTGCCTTCTCAGCCTCCCACCATCTCCTCAGGCCCCTCCACCATCCCCATCTTCCTCATAGTCCTCTTTGAACCCTTGTGAAGAACCAGTGGGCGCAGAGGGGCTCATTGCTGTCAGGTCTCTAAGACAGACCAGCTGCCCCTGGGCAGAGGGGCAAGGAAGGTCGTAACAACAGGATTGATGCTTTAGACAGAGCTGGGAAGAGGTACCCCTGGCTCCTGGGGAGGTTCAGTGCTGCTTGTGGGGGTGGGAGAGTGAGGGTGTCCCAGCCGCATGGACTAAGTTAGTCCTTGCTCTGCTGGGAGTAATCTGGGAAGGCTTCTTGGAGGAAGGGCGATTCCAGGTACCCTGTGACAGATGCACTTAGATTGAGCTTGTCCTTGGCTGTCCTCACCAAACTGAGAGTGTTAATGATGATGATTATGGTTATGATAACAATGATAGCTGGTATTTATTGAGCACTTGCTTCTCCCACAGCAAGCTCTGCACATATACTGAATCCTCACCATAACTCTATAAACTAGGTTCTGTTGTTCTCAGATTAAGATGAGGAGCCTGAAGCTCAGAGACTTTAAATGACTTGCAGACAGCAGACAGCATCCTGGAAGTGGAGGGTTAGACTGGGGATCTGCACAGATGGCTCCAGAGCCCCACTCAGGGTCTGAGGCTAGGTGGGGAAGGGAGTGGGGTGGCTGGAGGCAGATGCCCAGGAGATGGAAGGTGACCAGGGGCAGATGTCTGCCTAGAGCAGCCCAACACAGGCCCTTTGCTCAGTGGGCTCCCAGCACCTGAATGTGATGGTGCTCCAGGGCAAGCCTGTGTTGGTGACATCTTCTTGCGTGGTGGGGTGGCATCCAAGGTAAACATCCACTGCCAGCGGGAGCAGTGACCAGACTCTCCTCTCCCTCACTGGTGTTTTCAGCTCAACTCAGTCTGGTCAGAGTTCTGGGCTTAATCACTGGTTCCAGAGGCTTATGGCTGACAGTGTGGGGGAGCAGAGATGGGGGGAAAATAGGGGGTCAGAACTATGAGCAGAGACTTTGGGTGTGTGGATAGGGATCGAGCCAGGAGTGGAGGTGTGGTAGATTCATTCATTTATTTCCACAGGTCTTTATTGAGCACCTACAATGTGTGAGGTGTGTGCTGTGTGCCCAGGATGCCACAGCCAGCAGGAAGGGCACAGTGCATGGCACATGGTGGCACTCAGTAAATATCTATGGGGTAAATGGCCTCCAGGCTCAGAAGCTGAGGGCTGGACAGGACTGAAAAAAGGCGTCTAGTGAAAAGGCGTCTCATTTTAGAGATGAGAAAACTTAACCCCAAAGAAGTTAAGTGATTTTTCTAAGGTTTCCCTGCAAGATAATGGTAAACCAACTAAGTGTGATTGGCCTTGGTCAAGACTAGGGTGACCAACTTATCCCAGTTTACCCAGAGCTTTCCCAGCTTTAGCACTGAAAATCTCACTTCTTGGGGGAACCCCCTAGGAACTCCAAGGTTGGGCAAACCAGGATGGTTGATCATCCTGCGACACTAACTTCTCTGGCTGTTGCTCAGCACTCTTTAACTTCTCTGGCTGTTGCTCAGCCCTCTTTCCTGCACACAGTACCTGCTAAAGACAAATTTTGATGAAAAGGTTGGGGTGTGGGGGGGGGTGTCGGCTAGGAGGAAAGGAAGGAGGGTCAGACTGAGGGGAGGGAGACTGGGGAGGCCTCAGAGGACAGCGTTTGCCAGGGACAAATGGAAGAAGAGGGGTCCGTGCCGGGCAGAGTGGGAGGAGGGCGAGCGCTGGCGGAGGGTCAGGGAGTTTACTTGGCTTCGCGCTGATCAGGACACAGCACGTGTATCAGCTATGCGGGGAGGCTGTGTGTACAAGTCGGGTTGGATGAACGGTAATCCTTTAAATTTCTTTAATAATCCCTTGCATTATTAGAATAATAAAAATAATCCCAACCATCTGTTCCACCCTTTACATTTCACAAAGCACTTTCACACCTATGACCTCACTGGATCTCCATCACAGCCCAGGGAGGGAGGTGGTGCCGCTGTTAGACCTGCTTTCTACATGTGAAGACCCGCTTTCCACATCCGAAGTCCCAGGTGCTAAGGGGCTGGCACAGGGTCCCACCTCCAGTAAGGGGCCGATTTAGGACAGGACCCAGGTGTCCTGTGCCCGGCCTGGTGCCATTGCCAGAACCCCCATCATCCCCCTCAAAGAGGACAACTTCTATTGGCTTGAAGTGGGGAGAGGCTGGGGTGATCTCTCCAGCAATGTTCCCCCTCCCTCTCTCGCGCCATCAGTGTTGCCCTCGCTACTGGATTATCTCCATCTGCGTAGAAACAGGCTGTAATTTCTCCCAACTGAAAAAACAGCAACACACAAAACACTCTTAACCCACATGTCCCTCTAGCCCCCCCCAATCAGAGCAAAGCTCCTCACAATGGAATCTACCCTCTCTCCAGTCCCTCTCCTCCCGTCCTCCCTTCCCTCTACTCAGTCCTCCCCCCATTCTCTCTTAGCCTCTTAAAAATGCTCTCTCCGAGGTCCGCGATGGCCTCCCTGTGACTGAGTCCAGCCGTCATTTCTCAGTCCTTATCCCGCTCGACTCTCAGCAGCATTTGATACAATTGCTCATTCCCTCCCCCCAGAAGCAGCATCTTCACTTGGTATCCAGGCACCAGCCCTCCTGGTTTTCCTCCTGCTTCCCGGGTCACACTGGAGGGCTCTGGGGCCATGCACCATCCACACGCCCTCCCTAGGGGATCTCAGACTATCTCAAGACTTTGAATACCATCTCTTAGGATGATGACCCTAAATTTTACATCGCTAGCCTGGAATCCCACACTAGACTTGCCAATTGCCTACTCCGTGTCCACACTTGGAAATCTAATGGGCACCTCAGACTTAATGTGCACAGAGTTGAGCTCCAGCTCTTCCCCTGAACCCCTGCTCCTCCCACAGCCTTCCTCGTTGCTGTAAGTGGCAGCTCCATCCTTTCAGTCACTCAGGCCAAATGCCTTGATGACACCTCGACTCCTCACTCTCCCCACGCCCCACAACTGGCCCAGCAGCAAATCCGGTTGGCCTCACCTTCTATCTAGAATCTGATTGCTTCTCTCCACCTTCACGGCTACTTCCTGGTCCTTGTCGCCATCACCTTCCACCTGGATTCTTGAAATGGCCTCCCACGGGTGCTGCCCCGACAGTCTGTGTCCCACACCACAGCAGCTAGAGTGATCCTGTTAAACATTAATGAGGTCAGGTCATTCCTCCTCTTGGCCTCCAGCAATCGCTCTCCACTGCCTGCAGGCCCTCCCTGACCTCACGGCCTCCCGTCGCCCACTCTGCTGCAGCCACGCTGGCATCCTTGCTGCTCCTGAGGACGGCAGGCTCACTCCCAGCCCGGGGCCCCTGCACCCGAGGTTGCCTCTGTCCCTTCCCATCTGCTCACAGCTCCTTCTCTCCCCTCCTCCAAGTGTTTGCTTTATTTACAATCTCTTGTGCTGTGTACACACGCACATGCAGGCACGCACACACATTGCTCCCTACACCCCTGTTTCTCCATAGCACGTCTCATCCTCTGACATACTACATATTTTTCTGGTTTATTTATTGTTTGTCTCCGTCCAGCAGAATTTAAGTTCCTTGAAGGCAGGGATTTGGGTCTGGCTTGCTCATCGCTGCATCCATGGTGCCTAGAACAGTGCGTGGCGCACAGCAGGCAACCCTAGATGTTTGCAGAATGAACAGACACCTGAGAGGCCAGGTCCGGCTGAGGCGCTGTCAGAGTGAGGCAAAGAAAGCATGGGTGCATAGCTGACTTAGGCATCAGTCTTCTGTGAGTCACAGCGGGGAGGAACCACTGCGCCTAACTACCTGTTAATGTCTCATTAGGAGAGCAACGCTCTGACAGTTTGGGGCTCATCCTGCAGGTTATGTAAACAATGGTTAGGAGCACGTGGTGTCAATGCCCCAGTTCCATCTCCTGCCCTCTGCCACCTGGCTCAAATGAGGGACGACCTGCAGCCCGTCCCCTGGGTCCCATGGTGTGGGGAGAGTTGAGGAGGAGCTGCTAGACTCATTCCCCTCCCTCGTCTCAGTGTCAGGTGGATGGAGACCCACAGAGGCCCAGTCCCATGAGAACTAAGGTCCCCATTCCTCCCCATTAAGCTCAAGTCAGAAGGTCCTTGACCTCAATCTGATCCTGCTTCCAGCATCACTTCTGTCCTTTGGAATCTGTGGTCCTGTAGCTTCAACCCATCCCCAGAACCAGTGCCCAGCAGCCCTGGTCTCTCCATCTGCCCATCCTGGCATCTCCTACCCTAGCCGATGGAGAATTCTCAGCACCATGAGGGGCCGTTCCCGCACTGCAGCTAGGCAAGAATGTCACTCAGTGATCCCTATCCTCCTTGCTGCCTCGAGGAGGATATGTGAGAAAAGGGGGAAGAGAAGTGTCAGAGGAGGGCCCAGATCCCAGTGAGACCCACCCCAACCCCCAGCAGCCTGAGCCTTGGAAGGGCTGTGAGCAGCAAAAGATTGTCTCCTAGAGACCTCAGCCCCTCCCCTGAAGGACCCTGCCATCTTTGAGAGCAGGGCCACCCAGATGGACTAGTCTGAGACTGGGGAGGTGGGGAACCAAGTCCTCCTAGGGCCGTGGTCCTGCCTGCCGGAACGGGCCCCTCCTCGGCCTCACCCCGACTGGCCTTGGCACGTTCTCAAGAAGCTTGGGTTTTCTCCCTCACCCTACCACATAACCCCCCTCTAGGCACTAGACTCAGATGCCAACGGAAGTGGGTGAGTCAGCCGAAAGGTACTGGCCTCAGGCTGGCCCCATCCTCCTCTCCCCTCTAGTGCCCTCTCCTGGAGTGCTTTTCTGTAGGAGCTCATGGAAAGTGAGGCAGAGGAACATGAGGACTGGACTGGGTGATGAGGCAAGGTGGAGGGGTTTGGACAGAGCAGGAGGGTTGAGGCAGGGAGAC